AGGGGCGGTGTTGTCCACAGTGACCCTGACCAGCGCTCATTTGATGTGTAAGCTTAAACACGTGGGTTACTTGGCTAGTCATGATTAGAAACCATCGTATACTGAGGATGAGGTATGATCAGGAAATAGGATAGCTCTTTGTCAGAATTAGTACACCGCATAACATCCAGTTAGCGACTTGCTAGTCATGGGCGTGTGTTTATGGGGTTAGTGTACCTTGATCCTCCCCACAACGCCGGCCAAAGGCATCAAGAATTTCAGTCCATCCGGCTTGAAAGTTAGACAAACGACACCATTTCTATTCATTCTAATTCAAAGACACTAAGCAGACAAAAGAGACGCCAGGTAATCTGGGCTAATTCGTTTGAAAACTAGGGGCGACTGAGTCACTGATCATTCGGGTGGCTTGCAAGATCACCCTCCACAGCCTTCACAAGGTCCGTACCATAAATTTCTACGAATTTCTCTAGATCGCGAGCTAACGGACGCGCGTCTGGGTCAATAGACCAGCATTTGTTGAGAAACTTCCAAAGCATTTCCACAAGCTCGGAAGGTTGGCCTGTGGTTGGTATGACTATAGCGGGAGGAACGCCACTTGCAATATCTTTGTAGATTTGTGCAGGGTTTCGACGGTTTGAGTACGGTGCTCTGAGGAAAATAAACTAGAGCAGGTGAGCGGTCAGACCTATTGACGAAACGTCCGGAATTTCATTGAGGAGCAGCTGATACTCACCTGTAGTCCAAGACACCCGACAGCAAATACGTCGCTTGCTTTGGTAGGACTGGTAGCTTCATCTGCAGTAATGAGCTCATACGCGAAGTACCTCATGGTAACGGTATGGAGAGGGAGCTGCGTAGAGTTGGCCATCCCATCGGAGAATATCATTGCCAGGCCAAAGTCACAGATCCTTCCTCTTCCTTTGTCGTCTATCAGAACGTTCGACTAAATTTTCCGTTAGGTGAGGATTCAGCTACCACCGGTACTCAAGACTTACAGGCTTCAAATCTCCATGAATTATCGCAGGGTTGTGATGGTGCAAATATTCAATCCCTTTGATGACATCGTACCACTGAAAGAAGTATGAGTTTCGGGCTACAAGAAGCGTGATGCTTACAATTTGACACCTCTCGGAGGGTTTCACCGAATTTTCTTGTATGTATTTTCCAGCGTCTCCATTATGGTACCACTGCAGCAGGAGTATTAAAGATTACTGTCCCATCCTCTTATTTCGAATACTTACAGGAGTTATAAGCGCTCCGTATTTGCCAAAATCACTACTGAAGCCATATATTGGAAGTATGTTTTCGTGATTTAGTGAATTCCATAGAAAGAGCTCTCGGTTTAGTCTCTTAAAGCAACCGCGGATGTTACTAATCAACCTCGGGTGCGACAAGAGACTTTGGAGTTGGACTCACGCGCATTGAACTGCTATTTGCTCCCATACCTCGAATAACTTTGACCGCGACCTAGAAAGACGATGAGATCCTAGCTACGTCACGCCTTTTGGACTGACAATCGAGTCATCCCATGTCCCTTGAAAAACGTTCGAGTTAGTCCCCTCAAAGGTAGGGTAGGGACCTGATAACTTGATAGAGCCATTTATGACGCGGATTGGAGAAGTATGCTATAAAGGATGAGGTTATCCCCGTTGCCAGGCCATGAGTAATTGCTCTTACGTCCTCTTTTGGGTCACCCAAGTCAGATAATTTTGAGTACATGTAATCTTGCTCTACAAAATGTTAAACAGCACCTTTTCGATCAAAATTCTCCTGAGGATAGACAATAATCTCCCAATCATTTTGCAGCTTTGGAGATCTCTTGTCACTAGTCGAGTTGGGAGCCCCATCAAGTATTCCATAATTGGAGTTTTCGGGCCTTTTCACGACATTCTTCCCTGCTCCTGAGTCCCTATGTGGCAAATCGGATCCAGGAGTACGAGAAGTTACCCTTCTCCAAGCTTTGGATAAAAAATACATTGCTTGATGTTCAATAAGGCCACACAATGATCGACACCTATTGTGAAATGTCAGACAAGCTGATTACATGTTGCTCGAAAAATTATCTCGTAAGGACGAACCGAGGTGAGAGGTAAGAGGTTCAACAAATGGAAGAGGGCTTGTGGTTTAATAGTCCGGAAAAACAGAAATCGAATCATTTCCAAAATAAAACATCGTAGCATATAAATGGAATCACTCGTCACTTAAAAGGAAGTATCTCGTTGAGAACCAGACTAAATTTTGGCCACGCTGGCAGTATATCAGACTTTCATGCTAGCACGTCAGCGATACGACTTACAAATCAGACGATACGATGGGTGGTTCGAGGAGGGTGGTCGGGTGTTGCTGCCTGGCCAAACAATAAAGCAATAAGAGTGTACGATGTATCCGTGTATCAATTAACCATGATATTCCATTTAGGGATGGAGAGGACGGCGATTCCAAGCTCATAGCGTGACTTCACGGGATGTCAAATGGCGGACGTTTGGTAAGACTTTGAGCCCGCTGTAAAGGGAGAAAATTGAAGAGAGGATCATGGGGGCCTAGATGAGTGTGTTCACCTTTGCATTGGCTATCCTCTCGATTTGAAAGATCAAAGTTTGATCAAGACATAAGGATTACGAATGATCTGAACGGTGTATCCTTGAGACATTGCGAAAAACATATGTATATGTCTGTAATTCCAGTTTGGGTTGTTGGTAAACCCCAATAGTTGGATCTGACCAAAACATGCACTATTTATTGGCTGGTGGTGGACCAACCTGAACCCTGCCATTCAATTTCTACACGATACGGAGCAAAATAATTACTGGGTCATTAGAAAAATTTATTCCAC